GGGGGGGGGGGGGGGGGTCACTTTCCGCACGTATATGCGGCCCGGCCTGACGCACCCGTCGCCGACACAATCGAACAAGATTCGTCTATGCAATACTTCTGGTCCGGAGTGCTGTTCTGCCGCCAGCACACAAAACTCCCAGCTTTTACAATAATCATGGATAAAACAGAAAATTCTACACTAGAACCCACCGAAACTTACCGTTTCACGAAACCTGTCCACCTACTTCCGAGAAACAGAAGTAAAAACACCCAAACAGTACTTGCTGGCCCCTCGACGAAAGTGCGGGATGAGCCGCAACACACAACGCCAAACAAAACGCCTCCGCCACTTTCATGCACAAGAGGTGTAAAATGCCGCACACGGTGGTGATACGGTAGCTTTCTAAAATGGTGTCAGTAATAAAACAGAAATGGGTCAGTGTTGTGCCGCGACACCCTTTTGTGCTGCATCTCGACTATTACACCGTCTTGCAAAGACGACGACTTCCTTAAACTCGTGCCGAGTCCTTCAAGCCTGCATGCCTCGAGGGGTCGAGCTCAGAATACAAATCAGCCTGGTGAGCGCAGGCGGGCACAAGCTACCAAAGATGCTAGCCAGCCAACATCAAAAATATCCTATCTACACACCAGTGGACTGAACGAGAGAGAAAAATTAACATGAACGTTTGGTTTATCAATTCTTCGTGTGTGCTCGTTTCGTGTGAGGGCGAGAAAATCATGTGCGTCACTTGGAACGACAACATGCAAACACGTACAGCTACCACAGCAGCACCATACATCGCTGCAAAAGCTGGGATCGAAGCAAGCCGTAGCTCCCACAACGTTTACCCCTGCAACAGTCACCGACGTGGTATGGCTTGGGCCCCTCACCACGCTATACCGCGGTGCTGGTACCCCTCATGCATTCACGCAACCCCCACCACTTCTTCGTAGCTCGGAAGGCTGGTTTGCGTCACGTCTTCCTGATCGATGGTCTTCCTATCGAGTCTCAGGCCCGGCATGCTCGGTGGCAATTCGCTCTCCTCGCTGCCAACGCTGCTGCTGGTCCCGTAGTCCGCGGTGTAACCCAAACCCCCGGCTTGACCGACCGCTGCTGCTGATCGAGGGGTTGTTGCTGCCGCCGCCGACGTCGATCCTACGGTGCTCCCGCCGCCCATCCACACATCCTCGTCGCCGCGACAACTACCGGTTTCGTCTGGGAAGAAGCCGCCTTGGTCATGGGCAGAGGACGCGGTGGCGCTCATGGCTATCGCCTCCTCGATCACCATGTCGACGCTGCTCAGACGGACAGAACTGCTGCTGCTGCTGTCGCCGTCTGCACCGGCAGCATCTGTTACTCCTCCTCTCCCGCTTCTTGGCGACCCTCTCTCGGCCGCGGCCTCCGCCGTCCAGTTCTCGGGAATACTTCCGCTAGGGGGCCTCGGCAGCTTCGTGCGGACCGCCGGCGTCCCCGCGACCCCGCCGACAATAACGCCGCCGCCATTGTTTTGTCGAAACCGGCTGGGCGTGACGTCCGCTCTGTTCTCATCGGCTCCGGCTCGGCGGCCCCACATCGGACTCTCGGTCTGACCGCCGGCATCAGGCGCCCCCCCCCGCCGTGCGCCG